ACTCGTCCTCTTTATACCAAACTCAGCTTTTCTATTTGTTTTCCATATTTCTATCAGTGGTTATCATTTGCCTGTCAAGCCAACCGTAAACTTTAGAGTCATCTTTTCTCTTGATTCTTATAGATAGATAAAGACCTGTGTGACCCACTGTAATCAAAGTGAGTTTATAAAGTGAAAATTTGATTATATCAAAACTATGTCTAAGTTTTTTAATGACTCACGGTGTACATTGCAGACTTTCCATCATAACAAAAAAGACTCTTCATGATATGACCCCCTGCCACCCTTTCCAAACTCACCTCTTGCCCACCAATCACACAGACTATTTGCAATTCTTTGTAAAAGCTATGTCATTTCATTCTGATTGATTGACTGATGGCATATTGTTAGCCCTGCCTTTTCTTTTCTTCAGGACTTAGTTCAAATGTTGCTTCCTCAGTAAAGCAAAGCACCATTAATCTTCTCTCTAGGCAAAGTTGGTCATTCTGCTTCCAAAGTTCCCATTGTTTATTTGTCATATCACCTATTACATAATCATGTAACAATTATCATATGATATTACAATCATTTATTTGTATGACCCTCTTTCCTAATAAACTATGTACTTGTTTAGGGCACTGATTTTCACATGCATCTTTATAAACCCAGTACCTGACACAAAATGGCTACTAAAATAATGTTTGTTGAACCAATAATCTGGACCCATAATCTTTCAAATTTAGACCACTTAAAGAGCTTCTAATAGGTTTGCCTATATTCAGTGTTTCCTGTCATGGCTGTATGCTGTATCCTATCAACAGATTAATATTTTAGAAATACAGCATAACATCAGTGCACTACCATACTCCCTAAAATCAGTAGCTTCCATTTGTCTGATATATAAAGTCTAAAATTTTTATTTTAAAATTTAAGACTCTCCTTAATCTAGCACCCAAACTACCATACACTTTATCTGTAAAATTGATGAAACGCGTTATTTCCCATAAGTGAGATATAACTAAGTTATGTTAGAATAAAGTGCCTTGCGTTGTTATTTATATGTATCTCTTGTTTCTCAGACCAGATTGGAATCTTTATTAAGGCAGGATGGGTCTTACACATAAAACTAACATATAAAACCATCTTACATACAAAGCATGTTATATATAAACTGTGATCAATTACCATTTACAAACACTCTCCAATTGTTACCATTAACAAAGACTTCCTATTTTGTCTTTATTTACTCTAATTGCTCTTTTAGAATTCTTTCTCCAGTCTCTGTTTATTAAGATTTTACCCACTCTGTAGACCTATCTCAAGTGACAGTCTCCTTTGAAGCTTTCTTTGATTGCCTTTGCCTCCTGCCACATTTAAATGTATCTCTTCCTCCACTGTACTTCTTATATTATTTTGATACCTCCATTCTGTCTTAAATTTTAGCTAATTATATACATATATTTTCTGCCCACTATAAAATTTAGTGAAGGAAATTATTTAGGGTCATTTTTATTAGCCACCATTTCTTAAATTATATTTTATATTTTGTGTATTTTTTAATGGGAAGATTGCTCTGTAACTTCTGGAAGAAAAGCAATTAGGTGAGGGGAAGTTATTCACACTTGTAAGTCTTA